CTAGTTTAAGTCTGTCTATACATATTTTTTTATGCTGACCAAGTTACTTAATACATTTTGTTAAAATATCAGAAATGGAGTAATGAAAATATGACTTATTAACAGAATAAATGATGTACTTCTGCAAAATCAAATATTTGATTGGTTGATGTAATCTTATTTGTCTTATATTGTTTATCTTGTATCTGCTCTTTATCACTTACCATGAACTCATTAATCATTCAATAACTTTCTGCATATACATATCAATTACCTGATATGTTATATCTAAATTTTTGTATATATAAACTTATAGCAAAAACATATAAAATTATATATAAACTTTGTTGAATGATGTTTCTTCCCTTATGCTTTGTGCATGATACTTTGCAGTTGCAAAAGCTTATTTGTTAAATTTAGAACATCTTTATCACTTCATAAGTAACTACATAATTAATTCTCTTTGAAGCTACATAGATTTCTCCTCAACAACCTGTCTTCCAATTGCTTAGGCATTATAGTTTGATAAGAGATTATAAGATAGTTTGTTTAGGCATAGTAGTTCAATATATTAAGAGTGGGTTTATAGCCATTTAATTCAAAAAGCATTGTTTGCTTTGGAGATGTAATATTTCAGTTATAGGAGGTTGGGCCTGTAATGATAATGAGCAGATTCCCATATGCTTTTTATTGTATTTTAATAAAGTTATTGTTATCTGATTGAGTAATAATAATTGCATTCTTGATGTATTGAATTTCAAATTGAGATAAAGATTTGATACACCAATAATGTTATAGTGCTGTCCGTTATGAATTGTAGCATCATTGTTAAAAATTTCTTGACATGCAGCACTTTCAACTTTCAATAACTTTTATTAAAAAAAAAAAACTAAATTTAATTGCCAGAAAGATTGTGTATCCAAATTTGCAAACTAGAACAATTGTAATGGAATATAGTCAAATCAAATAGTTAATTAATATTACTTAAGAACTGTAGTTAAAATGGATACCGTATATCTCTGAATATAAGCAACCTCTGAATAAAAGTAACCTCCAGATTTTGAAACTGAAAATTTGGCAAAGGTTATGGTTACTAGTAAAATTATAACAAACTCTTCATTTTCGACTCAAAAATGTGTAAAATTGCGGTTGCTTATATTTGAAAATATACGGCAAGTATAAAAACTTTATATTTATATAAGATCTAAATTTTTAAAAGGAAATTATTTTCCTGCATTTAAGCAAATCTTGAGTAGTTAGTTAAGTTCCGTTCCTGTTTTGCGCGATGGAAAACAGAATCGGTAAATTGTGATATCCAATTTTTTTATTTTATTTTATTTTACAAAACTCAATGGAAAACAAAGAAATTACACAAATAATCGATAGATAGCAGTCAAAAATTGGCAGACACAAACGATCCAAACGGAAATTATTTGCTCGGTTATTGTTACGAATATGGAATTGGAGTTGAAAAGGATGAAAAAAATCATCCACATATTACCAAAAATCAGCATATATGAATAATTCTAACTGAATGTATCAAGTTGGTTACTGTTACTATTTAGAAATTGGTGTCGAAATCGATTTGCATAAAGCGTTTACATATTATCTAAAGTCTGCTAAGGCAGTAATTCCATGGGAATTTGGAAAACTGCCATTTGTTGCCTTTATGGAATTGGCGATGAAAAAAATTATGATAAATTTGATAAATGGGCTAAAAAGTAAGTTAATTTTTATTTTTTATTATAATGCCTGTAGTTTATTAAAATAAGTGTACATTTAATTTATCTATTTATCTGCAACTTAAGTTTATAAATACTATTTATTGTTTGTGTTATTTTAGCCTGTAAGTATAAAGAACATTTTATAATTTTACTAAAAAGCTGCAAAACAAGTTCACAAAACAAGTTCATAATTATTTATTTATCAATACACAATTCATCTTATTCAGCGCGTGAGTATAAAGAACATTTAACAATTTCACTACATAAAACTACAAAATAAATTCACAAAACAAGTTCATAATTACTTATTTGACATTACGTACAATTCATTTTATTCAGCTCGTGAACATAAAGGTCATTTAATAATTTTACTACATAAAAACTGCAAAACAAGTTCACAAAACAAGTTCATAAATACTTATTTACCATTACGTACTATTCATTTCATTCGCATTAATTTAGTCGGTGAGTATAAAGAACATTTAATAATTTTACTACATAAAAACTGCAAAACAAGTTCACAAAACTATAAAGTAAATAAATAGTTTACCCGGGCAATTGATTTACACTAGCCAATCAGACGAAATTCTGTCCATGAAATCTGCGCATATGATGAGCTAAGCCACAAAAAAACATATTCAGACCCGGACCGGACATGTTCGCAAACTTCGGACCAGATCCGGACCAAACTTATAATTGAGTTTGAGTCTGGTCCGAAGTTCGAAACTAATAAATTTTAGAGTTTGAGTCTGGTTCGATCCCGGACCGAACCAAGACCAGACCAGACCCGAACCAGACCTAGGAGCACTACCATTACCCCTTCCACACAGCCTTCATTTCTCGATGGTTCTTCTCTCTTATTGCTTCAAACAACATTCTCAATCATGCAAAGTCATTCAAGCACATGAAGGTGCTTGCGCATGGCCACAAGCTTTACTTTTCAAGGTAATATGCCCATCGTCTCATTTTATTCATCATTCGATCAATCGGATTAATGTAGATCAACTTTACCATTTTAGGTTCTATAATGGTAATTGTTCTTGAGGCTCTGCTGTTCACGATCCGATCTACATTTTCAATTTCTGGGCCTCACACAACCATCGTTCTGCTGGAGGTACATATGAATTTGCCCATAACACTATCAACTTCTTAAATTCACACTTACTGACCTTCTAAATTCGGTACAGTCTCGAAGATTAAGGGCCACTAGCTTTAAAATAGCACAAGATTTTGGCGCATTGTTTTTGCTAAGATGCGAATTTGCTATTTTTGTACTAAGCATATGTTTATTGCTTTTTTAAAACTGATTTATAATTTATATGCTATTGGGAAGCTTGTCAACGAAATGACAAAGCAATTATTATTGCGAGATCATGAGACTTTATTGCGGATCACATATAATTAGTTTAGCCCTTTATGGTTATTTGCATAATGGTCGCTAGTTTTCTTGTGGGTAAATCTACGATTGTACTTTTTTTAGAATGTCAAATAAACTGGTAGTGAGCTGAATGTAATCAGGAAAACGGGTGTGATTTGCATGCGAATAGTGAATGGAAGGGATAGAACTTTGGATTAAAGTCAGTTATTTTTCTGTTTGCTATTGCTCTATCGGCCTTTTATACTTACCTGTAGTTAAGTAGCCCGGTGGTTATCAGGCCTAAGGGCACTGTTATTCGATTAAATTGGTTCTGAGGTTGCAATAGCGGTGCAAAGAGCTGATAAAATTAGGTGTATCCTAATAAATATTATAAAACCGATTCTCTACAATCACTGTAAACTATGAAGTTCTTTCCTGTAATGTAAAATATTATATCAAATATAAAAAAAATAGATAATCTTATTATCTATAATGTATAATATTTCAATAGGGGAGGGTTATGTAGTGATGGACCGCTAGGGTGGAAGGCATAAACAAATTTATTCATGCCCAGCTTGGGCATAAAATTATACTTGAGGCATACCTAGGCATGTCCTTGGTAGTGTTACAAATCGAAAATCGAATTAATCGATTAGTTGTAAAGTTGACAACTAATCGATTTGAATTTTACAGACCCAACTTAGTCGATTAATCGATTAGTCGACTAATTGATTAATCGATTGGCCAACTAATCGATTAATTGATTAGTCGATTGGTCAATTAATTGGCTAGTCGATTGGTCGATTAAATCAACTGATCACATAAGAATATCGACCGGCGTTTCATTTGCTACCTTACGTGTATTTTACCAAGTTTCGTTTATTATTTATTCAACTAATCGATTAGCTGGCCAATCGATTAATCGATTAGTCGATTAATCGATTGGCCAACTAATCGATTAGTTGAATAAAACCAATTAATCGATTAGTTGGATAAAATGATCTATCAACTAATCGATTGAAAATTTTTCATCGATTTGTATCACTAGTCCTTGGGCATGTCCAAATTGGTTTTTTTTTTTTTTTTAAAAAAAAAAAGAAGAATTATCTGATTAGCTAAAATTAATTATATATATAGTATATTAGGCATATAAAAAAAACTTCATGCCTATAGGCATGCCTAGGGCATATGCCCGCATGGGCATGCCTATGCCCTCATGCCCCCACCCTATGGGCCATTGCGCAGGCGGAATATTTCGGAAGGTCAGAATATGCCGGAAATTAGCAATTTTGGCCCGCATTAGCCATAATGCAGGCCCGCATTCATGCGCAGTTTTCCGAAAAATGCGTATTTTCACCATCTTTAGGGTTATGTTAAACAAATAATCAGCTTGGTTTGGCCTTATTATTATTACATGCACGGACTCAAGGACCGAATCCAGGGACCCTGGACGTTGATAGCAAAATAGTTAGCAAAAATAGCTAGTGAAATTAGCGAATTTAGCAAAATAACATTATAAATTTATATTTATCAAGTATAAATTTTAATGGAATCATATTTTCTTCTGCGGTTCTTTATCATTTCAATGAGTTCTCCGGTCTAAAATATGATATAATTACTCATTTATGTAAATCAGTTCAAGAACAAAGGTAATAATCATATTTTAGATCAAGACTATTGTTGCTAGCTATTTTGCTAAAAAAATAGCGCTATTTTAGATGCTACAAAAATCCGAGGACTCTGACCGAAGTCCCTATTTACGGAGTCAGGACCGAAAGGATCGGACGTTTAACAGCCCCGCTGTCAGATTGTAAAAGTATATTGAATTGACCAATTAATGCATCTTATTTGAATTTCCTTTTAAGCAAACAATGACACTGATAATTATACGTAAAAAAATAAAAAGGCGTCATTTTTTTTCATTCATATTTTATTTAAAAATGTCGCAAGAACATAATATTAAAAGAAACGCAAGAGGAGGAAATAGTAAAAAAAATAATCAGAACTGCTTTAAATGTGGATTACCAGGCCATTTTTCACGTGATTGCACTAGTGGAGGTTCACGAAAACCTCAAGAGACGTCTATCAAACCTAGTCCACATCAAATAGAGGAAAATCAGTATAAAACTTTGTCAAATACCTTTAATTCTGCAGAATTGTCTTATGGTGGGTCTGATAAAATCGTTTTTACCCCACCAGGAGATGGGCTTAAAGGTGCATGGAAAAGATTTGTAAAGAAAGAATTAACACACCAACATAAAATGAGACACTTTATCACATCATGCCTTATAGCAGCAGACAAGCCGACGAGTTATGAGGTTGAAGAACTTGTAACAGAATTAGGACAGTCTGAAGGTCTGAACCGTATAAGAGAAATCGTCATGTTTCCCATGTCCGTGGACGCGGGGTATGTATTATGGGTAATTTGACTGATGATTTTATAAAAATGACTATCTTCCTTAATTCATCAACAAATCTAGACTTGCTGGAGCAGTTGCTTCTTTTCAACGTGTAATATTACCTTTCATGGCGCTTCTAACTCGCTCAGGAATTAAAGACTGTATCATGGAAAAATATGTTCATGCAATATTTTCTGTTGTCTATTTAAATCTGGTATACATTTTAATTAATTAATTATTTGATTAATTGAACGCCATGTTTATTCTGATTTGAGCTTAACCATTGTGTATAAAAGGATTCGTTTATGCATGATGGAGTTATCACGATGTTAGAGACTTTAGTTCGAAGAAATGATATTGTTGACAAAAAAGTTAACCAATCCACGTTGCTTGCTGATGATGCAAATGCATTCATACCTACTTCGTGTGTATAAGTAATTGTTTGTAAGTTAGAAATCAACGTTTTCTATCTAACTAATAATATTATTTTTTATAGGATGGGCCAATTCTTTTTGATCATTGTTAGGTTGTGCAGTGTACTTATGAAGCGTATAAAGGAAGCATCGATAAACGAAATGATGTACAAAATTGTAACGAAAATCGAACAAGCCAAGAATTTATGGCAAAATTCTCTTCAACAAGAAATTGGATGTACATATAATGAACCACTTGCTTCTAATGTTGTGCTTAGGAAATATTTTTTCACCGTTCTTGATAAGGAAATGAACAGCATGAACAAAATGTTGAATTATAGCCAACGTAACTTATCGTCTCAAAAAATTAACACAATTTCACCCATAAATCCTAATAAGCCTGTCACATATTATGGAAAAATGGCTAAAAAAGTTGCTTTATTGATAAATTACGATCCTCCGGGTATGCTACTGATATTTCATATGTTTATATAGCCAGGGTTTTTAATTTAAACCTTTTTTATCATTGAAAAGGTGAACTTTCTGAAAATGGACCACGTCATGATAATGATTTCAGTGAAATATCAAAAATTTCAATTATTCCAACTAAGAATGAGGTGTTATGCGATCGAGATCCATTTTTACCTACAACAAATATGGATGACACTTTGCATCATTTACCAAAAGGTGCAGAACGCCTTCTTGACGCACAATTTCGTCTTCTCAGGGAGGATATGATGTGTCCTATGCGTCTTGGCATTAAAAAGTATGCATTTTCTAAAATTAAACTAATTCAACTAATTAATACAAGTGAACCTCGTTAATATCAACCTAAGTCACAAGACAAATTTTTATAAATTTTTATATATCAAAATTCTCTCATATATATCAATTTTGCTATGATCCCTCACTAATATCACTATCAACATGAATATAAGAGTGATCCAAATGGGTTGACATTAGCGAGGGTCAAGTGTATTTAATAAATTTACATCCTAATATTTTTTTATGCAGCTTCATTAAATTTATCTCGGAATCTGCCAAAAATAACGCAAAATTCCAAAAACTACAAGAGCATGGTGGAAAACACAAGTATGATGACAAAGGAGACATGGATGGTGGCGACTTAAATGTATATGCCAATGTTCACTTTTCTGAAATAAATGTCGATCTAAGGCGAGGTTTTTCTTGCCGAATGGGTTTCACACAACCCAAAATGCGGCGTAATTTGGATAGTAAACAAGGTCGATTGCAATATTGGAATAAAAGCAGCAAACTTATGTACGGAAGTTTAGTTTGTCTGCTGTGGCCATCCGAAAATGATAACCTTCAATTCTCCTTATTCTTTGGAACGGTGTTGTCTCGTGACGAAGATCTATTGTCTCGAAATCAGCATGTAGCATTGGTTGATATTAATTTTATTGATAGTCTGGTTTATCAAATTGCTTTGAAAGAAATAAAGAAACAAAATTCCGGTAATTCAAATGAACAAACGACAGGGTGCTTTATGGTCGAATCTATAGGAACGGTAGGAATTTGAAATTAGTTCTGAATAATATAAATGCATAAGTTGTGTTCATTTCTCAAACATATTATATTTTAACCATGACATAATAGTGTTTCGAGTCATATTTCCATATTTTAAAAGCACTTCAAACGACATTACCATCAGATCTTCCTTTCGAAAAATATTTGGCGCCACAAATAATCGAGAGTTCCTCGTTTGCTGCCGTTGATCCACCTACATACGCCCGAGCACCTGAATTCGAATTTGATTTATCAGTGCTACTTGAAAATAAAAATAAACGGCTATTACTAAACGTTGCTGACACATCTTCTCATGAAACTGTTATTCAAAAACTTCAAGAATCAAGTAGGCTTGATAATACTCAAGGTATGTCGTAAAGAATATATAATTTGTTTTTTAAGAATTATTTAATTACTACTAATACCTTTATAAATTTTGATCCATAAAGCACAATCCCTTGTATATTCTTTATGTAGAGAAGTTGCTTTGATTGAAGGTTAATTCTTTTAAAACTATACATCAATATATTTTACATACATTGTTTGAATACTATTGTATTTATGTAATAAAAATAATGTTTAATATAATAGGGCCACCTGGAACTGGAAAAACTTTCGTTGGCGTTGAAATAATGAAAGTGTTGCTAGCAAACCAGAAAGCTACAAACTTAGGGCCAATATTGACGATTTGTTTTACTAATCATGCATTAGATCAGTTTCTTGAGGTAATGAATAATTATATTTGGCTTATTGCATTATAAAGTAGAAGAATAACTAACACATTTCATAACACTTTTAGAATTTATTAAAGGCTGGCATTGAAAAAATTGTACGAATAGGCAGCCGATCAAAGTCTGAAACCATTATGAATTTTAGTATTGAAAAGCTATGTCCAAATATTGCTGCTTCTAAAGCCCAGGGATATGAGTTGTATCAGCAATATGATGAACTTAAGCAAATTCAGAAAGATACTAAAAAGATCCTAAACGCTTTTTCTCATAGATGGCTAGATTGGGATAATATTTCTAGTTATTTGGTGTCAGAATATCTAGATCATTGGAACATGTTTCAGAATCCAGATATACCAAGTTTTTTGCTTGAAACTAATGATAATAAAACAGAATGGCAGCTAGTAAACAATAAGAAGCAGCAAGTAAACAATAAGAATAAGCGGTCAAACTTTTGCCAATGGATTTGTGGGAGTGATTTAGACCTTGCGCAGAAATGGACTGACAATCTTCAAATCCAAGAAATTGAACACAATGTAACAAATGGCAGTAATACGTTTGAATTGCTTAGATACCTTGACAGAGAAGAAGGACCTTCTACTGAAAATAATACAGACATTGAAAATACTGAAAATACTGAGAATCCTAATGAAAATATTGAGAATCCTAATGAAAATATTGAGAATCCTAATGAAAATCCTGAGAATACTAATGATAGTTACATTAGTTACATACAAAATTGGCTTCTTTCATGGGTAAAACCTGAAGGTGATCGACCCTTGGAATACCTAAAAACTGATCCTAATGTTTGGCAAATGTCTATGGCTGAAAGAATAAAATTGCACGACTTTTGGAAAGAGAATATTCAATTAGATTGCCTTGGTGAACTTTCTAGAATCAAAGAACAACACGAAAAGAAGAAAAATGAAATTGATAAGATTTACAACGAAAATCGTCGTCGGTTTCTTCTTAATTGTGATGTAATCGGAATGACAACAAATGGAGCAGCAAAATTTCAAACTTTAATTAGCTCTATCGGTATGACTTTAAAATGATTATTATTAAAATAAGTAGATCTTAAATTATACATCACAATTTTAGGACCACGTGTAATTATTTGCGAAGAAGCTGGCGAAGTCTTGGAAGCACATATTTTGAGTGCACTAACGTCAAAGACGCAACACATGATTCTTATTGGTGATCATAATCAGGTACGTAGAAATAAAGTTATTTCTTGGTGGGGATTATAAGTTAATTTTTAGTCTTTATTTTACTTTACTTATTTATTTATTGATTTTTCTTTTTTTAGCTTCGCCCTCATTGCACTACATACACTTTAACATGTGATTCGAAAATTGGAATCAATTATGCTCTTGATAAAAGTCTTTTCGAGCGTCTTGTTAACGGAGATCAGGCAATGCGTTTAGAAAAATCGCAATTGCATACCCAAAGAAGGATGAGAGGAGAAATTTCTGATTTAATTCGGTATACACTTTATAATGATCTTGTTGACGAAGAAAAAGTTGTTAATTATCCAAACGTGCGCGGTGCCCAGAAAAATGTTTATTTTGTGGATCATCGCTATTCTGAAGATTCTGGAGACAATGAGTTTGCAATGAATTCTCATTCGAACACCTATGAAGCTAAGATGATAGTAGAAATTGTTAAGGTAATTGATTATTTTGTATTTTTGATAATTGTTGAAGGGTACGTTTCATAGATTCATATACAAGTTCATTTTGAAGAATTTATTTTACAGACAGTTCAATCTTTAACAGCGAATAACTCCTAATCTATTGGTCCTTTTGGATAATTTAATTACCAAAACGATCGACTTGATAAGATGATTATTTAAGTAATCAAATTATCCAAAAGATTAGAAATTATTCACTGTTAAAGATTGTTTATAAAAAAAATAATTGTCTGTAAATTAATTGTCTTCAAAATGAACTTATCTATGAATTAGAGACTGGACTCGAGTCAATTCGTAGTTTAAAAAACATAGTCTTGACTCGAGTTGATTCGAGTTAAGACTATGTTTTTTAAGTTACGAGTTGACTCGAGTCTAGAGTTAATACCTGGATCCGGATTTAATAGCTTATATCCGGATTTAATCATTATAGGCGTAATATTCGGATTTAAATATGCAGGCGTAATACGTCTAAGTCTAAACATCATTGTTAAATACGGATACCTATAACGATAAGCTATGATTAGTGGAGCAACCAATGATAATTTTGCCGTAACATAGTTGGCTTGTATTATTTCTTAATGCCGGCCTAGCTCCGGGCCTATTCCGACCCTAAATTTTGGTCGATCTGCTGAATTTTGGTTGCTCCACTAATCTATCCATTAAATCCGGATCCAGGTATTAACTCTACTCGAGTCCAGTCTCTACTATGAATTGATTGTCTATGAAATAAAATATCAATGAAATAATCTATAAAATGATACGTACCCATTGTTGAATAATATGTATTAATCTTATTTATGCAAAACATTTATGTTTTGTTATTATATTAGTATTTTGTTCGCAATGGTTACGATAAACCAGGTCAAATTGCGGTATTGACACCATACCTCGGGCAGCTTATTAAAATAAGAGATGTATTATCGAAGTCATTTGTTGTGGTAATTGACGAACGTGATGATCAATTAATTACTGATATGGAGGAAAGCATAGATGATGAAAATAAGAACCCAGATGGAGAGCCAGTGTATTCTACCATTGGAGCTACCGCTTCTAGAAAAAAATTGTCACAACAGGCAATTGTTAAAAATTAGTATTAAAAATGTAATTCGTCTTAATCCCATAAAAATCCTAATTTCTTTTTATAAATTAAATAGGTTGTTCTTCGTACAGTTGACAATTTTCAAGGAGAAGAAGCAGATATAGTGATTATATCACTCGTTCGTAACACGAAAAATGAGAATGATCGCGGAAATATTGGCTTCTTGAAGTCAACAAATCGTTCTAATGTTCTTTTATCTCGTGCAAAACATGGCATGTTTCTTTTGGGTAGTGCAGAAATTATGGCAAGGCATTCAGATTTCTGGAGAAAAGTTTTAGAGATTTTACGCAAACGTGGCCAAGTTGGGCCAGGATTCCCAATTGTATGTGCTCGACATCCAGATTATAAAAATACCATATATGAGGCCGAACAATTCAATGATGTTTCTCCTAATGGTGGCTGTTTCGAGCCCTGTAAGTTTTTTTATAACGGTACAATTCACTTATTATCCAATTGCTAACGTTAGATGCTAAATGATAATGAAATTTTCAGGCGGTCAACAACTAAGATGTGGACACACATGTAGGTTGGCGTAAGATTTTGTTGTTTCATATATGCATATATCGATATTAATATTATTGAATTGCTTGCAATTATCATTATAGGCACATATCAGTGTCATCCAGATGATCCTCAACACATTGGAGTTGTTTGCCAAAAACCTTGTACAAGATTATTTCCAGATTGTCAACATCCTTGCAGGAATAAAATATGCGGAGAAAATTGCGGTAATTGTCTTTGGCCAATTGAAAACATTACATTGCCATGTGGACACGAATATAAAAACGCCAAGGTTTGTGAATATACAGTATAAAGTATAATAAAGTTTCAAAAATTAGAAAAATTATTTTACATTATTTTCAATTCGAATAGTGTCACGATAGTAAAAATATAAATAAAATCCTTTGCAAGGAAAAGGTGTTAAGGAAATTGCCTAAATGCGAACATGAACATTTAATGGAGGTAAAAAAAAAAAAAAAAAAGATCCTTTATATAGACCATTTATTAAGTTTTTGTTTTACTGATTTTCATTGTTGTTATTATTTAGTGTTATGTATCAGTCGGCGATTTTAATTGTACAGAAAAATGTGGGAAGCTTCTTCCATGCGAGCATCCCTGCACGTCTACATGTTTCGATTGCCAGAAATTATCTGAGAGAGCAAACCAAAATCCACTCTTAGATCGCATGGGACAGATTATTAGATCGAATCACAAAAAATGCACGCAGAAATGTGAAAGGTATTTGTCGAAATCGAATCTGTCAAATGTATCCTTATTTGTAAACTAACATAACGATAACATTATTATTTGTAAACTAACATAACGATAACGATAATTTATTTATACTACACACACAAAAATAGGAACTTATTTTGTGGTATGATTGCTTCTATTTATTCTGCATTCTTTAATATTATAATTTTATAACAGTTTATTATTTGCCAATGTAAGGTCACATTTGTAAAGAAAGTTGTCATGAAGGTCGGGCATGTAAACCTTGTGAAAGTTCTTGTAATGTTTCTTGTATGCATTCGAAATGCAAACTACCCTGTGCGGAACCTTGCTCAGTTTGTGCAGAAGGTAAATAACAATCAAAATTCGGTATATATTTTAATATATATGTAATAATTGAATTTTTATACGTAGCATGTGGGTGGCGATGCAAACATGTGGGTACTTGCAACTTGCCATGTGGCGTACCTTGCAGCCGACTTCCGTGCAATTTGCGATGCGAAAAATTACTAAGCTGTGGGCATCAATGTTTTGGCCTTTGTGGTAAGTTCTATAATCAATTATAATGGATCAGTTTTCATGATACTATTATTTACAATGTATTTTAAACTAATGTGCATTGTTTTCGATTGCGATTTATAGGTGAAAGATGTCCACCACAAAAATATTGTGCAGATTGCACTACAGATGATAATGTCAAGAATCAAGGTATTTATTAAGACCAAGATTATTGCTATTAATTAAAAAATTATTCATTAATGGTATACGCTTATTTCCTCGAAACTATTCCCCGACATGTCATTTACTCGCCATCACAGGATGACAATTTATCATTTTATTAATTGTCGGTATACATCGTTAGTAAATTGTCACCCCAGGTGATGTCGAGTAAATGACATGTAGGAGAAATAGTTTTAGAAGAAATGAGACGTAACCTCATTAATTTAATTTCGATCTTAAATATTAGTTGTTGATTTGATTATGCAAGAAACATTTGCAGAAGTGGATTGGACTTTTGAGAGAATGGTCGTCTTAGATTGTGAACATGTATATACAGCAGAAAGTCTTGATCATCTGATGGACATGAAGGAATATTACGAAATGGATAAAAACGACAATTGGGTCCGAATCAAACCAATTACATCACAACCAAGTGAATCTAAAAAATGTCCACAATGCCGTGCTCCCATTAAGAATATTTACCGTTATAGAAGATCAACGAATAAACATGTTTTGGATGTACAAAACAAAAAATTTTTGATGAAATATGATAACTATTTGAAGAAATTAAACAAAGATATAACAACTGCTACAAGGAAACTAGAAAATAATCGAAAGAAATTTTTAGAAGAAATTCAAAAGCCGTTGAAAATTCAAGGAAAAAAAGAGACGAGAATTGCAGAAATTGCAGATTCAACATTAGAAGTTACATCAACAGAGCAATATACATTGCTTGAAAAATATTATTCTATTCCAATGATACATGAAATAGAATGGACGCGACATATATCAGCACTTCTTACAATATATAGAAAGTTGACACTATTAATGTTTGAAACAAAATCTCCACCATATAAACTTGCGTATGAGGCTGCTGTGTCTCTTTTGTAAGTTAATAATATTTATTTCTTTAATTTAAGGAAAATATTCAACATATATATACATTTTTCTTTAAACTATTATAGGTATGCGTCAAAAACCCAAACAGATATATGTGATCTCGGAAAAAATTTTGAATCATTGGACATTTTAGATTATGACTCACCTGCTCGACAACAACTAAAACTTAAAGAAACTTTGGCAGAAGTTGGATTAATTACTCCAAAAATAGATGTCCGCATGTATCTTGACGCGTTTTTTGAAATTATTAATATTCAAAAAGTCATTTTTTATGAAGTTTCCCAGGTTATTACTGAGTTGTCAAAAATAAGAGGAACGAACGATAACCTTGTTTCTTATGACAAAAATTGGATTGAATTTGGTGAAATTATAATTGAAGCAATTAAAAAACACCTTGATATTATAATTACAACAGCCCAACAAAATAATTATCGTCGTCATGTTGTGTTGTCATCGCTGGAGTTGGCGGAAATTGATTGTAAAGCAGAATGGTTTAAGCTCAAATATCCTCCTAATGGGACAATAAATCCTATTATTCAGAAGTCAGTCAAACATAGATGTGCGGAAATTGAAAATATGTGCCAAGACATTTGTAATATGCTTTCCACAATGAACGTTGAATATTTTGAAAAGCAATGTAAGTCAAGAATTGAAGAAATTCACCGAGAACTTGTTGACATTCGGACTGCGGCTATGAGGGACATACCCTTAACACGTGAAGAAAGGCTGCAAATATTTAAAGTAATGAACAGTGAATTTCAAGGATCAGGAGTAATATATCTTTTTTTTTTTATACTTTTGTACTTTTACATTATTATCAAAATTAATTTGAAATTTTCTCGGCAAAATTAAACCTTAGCATTGGTATCAATGCCCAAATGGTCATACTTATACTATCGATCGATGTGGAGGTGCCATGGAAGTTGGCCGGTAATTTTATCTAACAAATATTACAGTTTAACCTCGATCAAAACTACATTTGTATTATTGTAAGACACAATAGAATAATCCCTACAATTTTTGGTTACTAATCCAATTATATCGAGGTTAGACGGTATTTGTGCTAAGTCTTTTTACTAATTCATATTACTGATATTTTAGTTGTGTGGAATGTGGCGCGCAGATTGGCGGGCAAAGTAAATTTTTTTTAAAATATAATAATTGTAATTGTATATTTGCGAACCATTGAAAAAGAACTAACTATCGTTTACTAAAATATGTATTTAAGATCACACGCTCACTGCTGGAAATCGTCAGGATATGGAATTCGAAACCATGTCAACAAACTATTAAAAATTTTGGTTTTTCATAACATGAAACTTTTAAACAGACCCGGCCGGCTGGCTTTTTTTTTTTTTTTTTTTTTTAAAAGTTCATATATAAAAAGAATAAATTAAATTTGCATGGCCTTGATTTTTTTTTGTAATCTGGGTTATCCGTTGATCTACCCTTTAAGTCATCGAACTACATATCGGTATACAAAAAAGAATTCATTTTTATGGACGTTAGGGCATGCACAGCATTAGTTTAGCTTAAAACTTGGTCTCTATATTACATTTGATGTATCATACTATGCTTTTGACGTTAAATACATTGGAGTTTTACATGAGATTTTATCTGTTCATTGAAAGACTACGAGTTTAACCTTTTACTAAGTACAACTCATTCCCGTTATAGTGAAGTGTTCCATTCCATTAATAAAAATTGTCGCGGCTGATGCTGAAATTGGCTGATGCTGAAATTTGGACCTATTTTGATACGAAATTTTAAACAAATTTTGGGGTGTTTTTTTACCGCTTTTTTTTATATTTAGGTTAGGATTTAGGGTTAGAATTTATAATTAAAGAGTATATGTGGATTCTAGCAGGGCCTATATTTTAAAATTGGAACCCCAAATTTCAGCATCAGCCAATTTCAGCATCAGCCGCGACAAAAATTTTTTATATCGAGAGTTTTAATTGTTATTATACAATGAAATATATATGTTTTTTTTTAAAGAACAAAAAAAAATCGAAAGATAGGTATGTCTCCACAATTTCATTTAAACGCGTTAAGAAACCAATTAAAACACTAAATGATCAACAAGGTGAATCTTCCTTATCTGTTCTAATGAACGATATAAAAGTAATCGTTGAAATACGTATTTTGAAATATATTTATACAATACAGTAGATTGTATATGGAGTAGCTACCTATCTGAGGCAACCGTTTTAGATAATGCGTGACCCGGATTAAATACAGTGAGATTTTAATTTCAGCTAGGTGCTACTTCATATAAAGAGAAGACAGATACTCGAAAACTAGTAAAAATCAAAGTTCGTAAAATCGACAATTGGGATTAAAGCTAGCGTTTATTGAAATAAGACAACATTCACATACGATCACAAATTTCTTAATAGCACAAGAATTATTATTAACTGATAATGACAGTAATATTAGGCCGTTTGAAGTTGATTCTTCGATTAACATCACTTTGCCAGGACTCTCGAGAGGGGGGGAGGGGGGTAAAATGAAACGAACATATAAAAATGAACAAAGGTGAGCAATTTCATTGGTTGATGCAAATCAGGTGACTGGCGAGAGTCATCCAGCGTTTTGATTGGCTGTTCATTTTTCGGGGAGACTTCAGCTGGGGGGTGATGTTAACCGAAAAATTAACTTCAAACGGCCTTATATAGCAATAAATAAAAAAAGAATCATAAAGAAACTTAAGTTTGAATGGATTATTATTATAAACCAGTTTTCTTTGATTTTCTTTGCTACATTTATAATGCGCAAGTTCAAAGATGTAATGTGCAAAATACTCTGCTCACTATGTCGAGATCACGGGATATTTAGTAAAAGTGTCCTGATCCTGTATGTGTACAGGCGAAAACTTCGTTTCAGCTAATACCCAACAGCTCAGAACATTTGTATTACAAATACCCTCAATTTGGCGAATATGAACGCTCTAACAAAAAAAAGAGATGAGATGGTTATCAGTTTTGAAGGTGCTACCTTCTATAGGGAAACATTAGTTTCTTGCTTTCTTTACACCGATTTATTTGTAGAAACCTCAGCTTCAACTTTTTTTGGAATAAAAATGTAGTTTGGACTAAACTTTTAAGTGAAAAAAAATACCAAAGTAAATTCGACAAATTGTGCAATTTACATCATATGATAGTTATTAAACAGAATAAGAGGTTTAATAAAGAATAGCCATTATGATATCAATATTTGATAATTAATAACAAATTACAGTTTTGAAATTTGTATCCATTGTCTTAGATCACGAAGTGTTTGGATTCAACTAATGTTTGTAAATATTTAGGACATTGCTGCATTGTGTTATTAAATTATAATTGTAAAGATTAACGCCATTGTCGTTATGTTTTCAAGTCAAAAAGCTTGCACAATTCTTGATTACTAATGGTCTATATCCTTGAACAAATGAATGAATTTGAATCGACAATTCATTTAATTGACGATTCTCCAGTCAACTGAAGAATGATCATAGTGAAATGTGACGCAGTTCTATATATAAATTACTATAGGTGCGAAAGTAGAAATTTTCTAGTGATTGTCCAAAGAAAACTTTTT